AGAACTTTCTTAATTCTTAGAGACAAGACTTTTGCAATTATCTTGTACAGACTATTCACCAAACTAATCGGCCTGAAATACCTTGGTTGTGATGCCTCTTTCTTCTTAGGGACCAATGCAATGAATGTGGAGTTTAAACCCGGATTAATGATTCCCCTCCTGTTAAACTCCTCAAAAACCAACACTAGGTCATTCACAATATCCCAACAATCCTAATAAAAAGCCATTGTAAATCCCTATTTATCAGTACACCAAAATTTTATTAAAAAAGAATAGGACAATGTTGTAAAATAGTTTTATGCCTAGCATCCCTAAATTGTCCCAACTCCCACTTGCCACCCACATTCATTTCTTTTTACAACTACTCATCAGGGGGGATCAATCCCCAATACAGCACCTTTCTATGGGAACCTGGTGATTCTAAGAGGGATCATAGGGTAAAGTGGGCAATGGTTTCTAGAAAGAAAGACAAAGGGGGATTAGGGATTGGAAATATCAGACTAAAAAACAAAATTTTGTTAGGCAAGTGGTTGTGGAGATTTCCTAAGGAGCAAGGAAGTTTAAGGCATAGAGTGATAAGAAGCATTTATGGATTGGCAGCAAATGGATGGGATGTTGGAATCGACCTTAGGGCTTCTTGCTCTTCCCCGTGGAAAGACATTGTTGGTGTCCTACCCGTTTTCTCATCTTTCATCAGGTATGATGCTAGCTTGGGTGATAAGGTTCTCTTTTGGGAGGACACTTGGATTGGGGACTCTCCCCTTAAGGATAGATTTCCGACCATCTACCCCCTCACTCTGATCAAATTTGAAGTAATCTCTTTTTTCATATCTCTAGGGATTCTTAGAATTTGGGACTAAGGAGAGGTTTGAGGGTCTCAGAAGTGGGATCGGTAGATGAATTATTTTCTCTTTTCAGCTCAGTATTTTTGGACCAGTCTTGTCCTTAGTAGAATTTGGACTCAATCCTCTTTAGGTTGTTTCTCTTGCTCTTCCTTTTTTAGCGCTCTGGTGCTCCCTACTAACCTGGTCACTTCCTTTCCTATTAAAAAAGTATGGAATGCTTTGATACCTCCAAAGGTAAGGGTTTTTTGTTGGGAAGTGGTGCTCCAAAAAATTAATACCTTGGAAGTGCTTCAAAGAAAAAGACCAAATTGGTGCCTACCCCCACATGCCAATAGCCTATGCTTAAGGAATAGTGAGACAGTGTGTTGTGAAACTGAAGCGACCAATGCCCTCCCTTTACAGTGTGTTGTGAAACTAAATTTTGATGGCAGCTCTGTTGGGAACCCTGGACCCTCTGGAATTGGGGGTGTGTTTAGAGATGCAAGAGGAAGAATCCTAGTCATGTATTCTGGTCCAATATGGATGGGGGACTTGCTTAGAGCAAAAGTGATGGCCATCCCTCAGGGGCTCAGATTGGCTAAGCAATTGGGAATTCAACGGTTAGAAGTGGAGGGAGACTCAAAATTAGTAGTAGGCTGGCTGCAAACAAATAGCTTGGGAACATGGTCCCTTAGACACAACCTGTAAGGGAATTACTGAGCCTCACAAGGGAGCTGGGTGCACGTGTTAAATGGACTAGGTCAGCAAATGCTTTAGCTGATAATCTAGCAAAGCAAGGTGTAAATCGGGAGCCTTTGTTTTAGGTTGTTTTGTAATTTGATTTATGACAAGGGATCACTTTATGTCCCTGTAGGTGACAGTTGCATTTCTGTTTGTAAGCAAATGAAAGTTACCATTTCCTATCAAAAGAAAAAAAATACAGCACCTTTCTATTTGGTCTTTGTCTTGCTAAACCATGTGCTCTATGTTAGTAGACCTTGGGATCCATCAATATCTAGTTCTCAGTTCCACAGCCAAACTCTCAATCTCTCTCATTATGTATCTATATTTCCAAGAGCCTGTATCGTTCCTTCTCAGCCAGCTTACAATCATTAAGTGGTCCTTTAATAATAAATCTTTTACAGCACGTATAGATCAGGGACTTTAAACTTTTCTTTTAGCTCACTATACCTTTAGTTGATCATCATCATCATACAAGGTTCCAAGCCTTATCCCAACTACTTGGGATCAGCTACCTTTTGTTGATACATATGATAAATAAGAACTTAGTTTTGTTGGTTCATGGGGATTTCAAATGGATCAGGTCTAAGCCATATTGTTATAAGATTTGGATTGCATCAAAATCCAATCTATTGACAGCCCTAATAAATTCCTAAAATGTAAATCCAAACTAGTACTCCCTCAAGGAGATTAAATGACATGAACTATGATTAAAGGAACCGCTCGGTGTCAGAATTTAAAGGGCACCACTCTTGTCAGATGAATCATCCTATTCTGGTTGCTATGCTGAGACAGTTTTCCAATCCAATACTGGATAATATAAGATTCACCGTTTAAATTGAAATATTTCTTGTACTTCAAAACGATGGTGTTCTCCTTTATAATTTTCTCTTTGGCTTTATTCGTGCAACCAAACAGCAAAAGATAGCACAGTGTAACTCTGTGAGTCAAGCGTAAGATTAAGCATACGCGTGTTCCAAAAGCTAATGGCCCATAAATTTGAACACTTCTGACTCTGAAAACCGATGGAAACATGGACGTATTATAGGTAAAATGAAGATATGTTATTCGTAGCACAGTTAACATGAAAATACTGAAAGAGCAAATGCACCTTAATACACCCGTCATCGTCTCCTGATGCGATGGTTGTCTCCGTCAAGTTGACCAAGCGGTTTACAGCAGCTCTGCGTGAGAACAATGTACCATTTCAATTGGGAAGTGGCTGATAAATTATTAAAAAAAAGGAAGGAAATAAACAAGGTAAACCCCCCCCCAATGAATGAAACACGTGGTAGAATGAATTAGTGTGATAACATGAATACTAACTCATGAGCGTCTTCCAGACGAGCAATCACAGAACCCGTTTCCACGTCCGTGGCAAGAATGGAGCAATCAGGAGATCCCGTCAGGATTGCTGATTGAATGTGAAGGTTCCAATCCAGCACACAAAATTTGGGAAAAAAATAGAATAAGAAAATATCAGTTCTAATTACCAAATCAAATATATGAAATTATCGATTTTTTTTTGTTATCTTTGGATGGAGAAAGGCAAGTTATGAGTGTTACCACGCCCCCCGTCGATAAACCGAACAGCTCTACATGATTCGCTGTGTGCATGAATCTCGAGCAACCTATTGAAGCAATTACAGACAACAAAAAACACATAACAAGAGAATTTGTGCAATAAGTGAATAAGAATACAAACGATCTTCAAAACAAATTGGACTCGAAGTAGTGACTAATCAAACAACGCGATGATTATTTGCGTTACCTCTGAGGCTGTGAATCAGCAGCATAACGATACCTGGTTAGATATTAAGTAGAAATGCTTAGCATCATCGAAGCATAGACAAGATAAAGTAGCATCGATCTCTATACAAACTTACAGATGAAGGTCGCCATTGATCAGACCTGCAGTGACAAGAGAGCTTGACGGGTGGAAATCAACATCAAAGGGGAGTTTTCCCAGATTGATCTCCATTGTAGCTTACCAAGAGACTCGATTTTGCTAGCAGTAACAGTACATGAATTATACAGCCGAAGAACGTGTCTTGCCGGTCTTTGTTCGCCGCTGCAAAGAGGTAGCCGCCTCGCCAGTCTTGTTTGCAGCTGCAGAAGGTGGTAGGCGTTGCAAGAAGAAGCTGGCTTCCCTCAGATGCAGACTTCCCAATTCCCAATACGGCACTTGGGAGTTGGGAATGGAAAAACACAAAACAAAGGCGAAAGTAAAAACCCTAACGGCCTTAACTTGGCGGTTAATCGTTCTTTTTCTGATTTCTTTTATTTCTATTTTAAAGGTAAGCCGCGAACCGTTAACCGGGTGACTGTCACCTACAGGGACGGTTCGATGGTTAACCGTCCGGGTCAGCGTTTTTTATCAGTCCAACTAATTCAACTGCTTTTTTCGTAATAGCGGCTCAGGGCATAAACGGAACCGGGATCATCACCAGTTTCCGGAACGGTTCGACCACCTGAGTCGATGACGTTTTCAAAACAATGATATCATCTTTTGCCATGCTTTATTGTAACTGAAATTAAGGTTATGTTTTGGAGACATGCAAATAGAGTGTAAATGCAAATTAATATATAGAGTGCATACAAATTCAAAGTTGGGTTAATTTTGCATTTACAAGTATACTTTTTTATCAAACATCTTTTAATGGATGCAAATACAAATCCTCATAAAGTAATATAGTTTTTTAACAAAAATCCACTTTAAATGCAAATTTATTTATTTTTTCAATATAAGTGATAAAGGGTGATTTGGCACGACCAAGTAAGTAAAGGATACATGGACGCGATCTGCGCGAAGGATGACAACTCAGCAAAGGGAACCTAGTCAATAGAATTTAGAGTTCGGGTGTTCGGTCACAATAGACTTCATTGACTGATACGTTACCCCCCGACTAAAGCGGAAACGGATCTCATCCACTCAGGCCAAAGACCCCATAACCGTTTCGTGAGACCCACAACAGCTCAGTTATAAGGACAACAACCCCTCCAGGGCCCGGGTATGTGCAATTATTTCTACATTCAAGCTCTCTAATACATATCATTCAACTCTCAGCTCGTAGTACTAACTTAAGCACCGGAGCGACCTCGCCAGGTTAGCCACTCTCGGGTTCTCTGAGCTCCACAGTTTTGCAAGCCAAACTAGCTCTCCACGCGGCCAAGTCCCAGATCATCCTCCAACTAGGAGCATCCAGATCGTGCTCCATCATTTGGCGCCGTCTGTGGGAATTCGATCGAAAGGTCATTCCAACCTCTATCTTACTCTTAATGGACTCTTCCAGCAATACCGGGAAAAGGTATTGACATGAACGTCACCGGGGGCAAGATCAACAACAAACTCTCCCTTAAGGTCTCACGGTGTGTATCAGTCAGTTTACAATCCCCCTCACAGTTTCCAGGGTCCCATCATTATCAGTACCGCAGACCATCCCATAAGTGAGCATCTCGCTCCCCCAAGTGGGCACCACCTTCTCAGATCCCTCCGTGATCCCCCCCGGGGTTGGGCACTCCTAGTTCAATGACCTAGTTCAATGCGTCCGGACGATGCAGATCCAGATGCAACAGGTCCAACAGTTCTAGCAATACTTTCTCTACTAGCAGTATCAGCAACAGTTCCACCATTGCAGTCGAGTTAACAATCGGTTCCGCCTCGACACGCCACTCAGCGTCAGGGCCAGAATCGGAGCCCGCACAGATCCGCCCAGGATGTCCATCGATCTCCCCGTCAGGGTGAGGGGACATCGCAAGTACCTGTACCTCCCAAGAGCTAGACTTCACCACAGGGCAAGACAGATGGGCAGCGCACTCCCCTTATCTCTTAGGGGGGAACCCGGGAGATAGGCCTGAAGTCAACCAGCCCGACAGGAGTATCCAACCGCAACTTTCACGGCCTGAGAACAATAGGTCATGAAGAGAAGATCATCAAGTCGAAGCCTGAGACGTAGACTCGAGACAAGCCCCCTCTGCGCCTCACCATGACCAGCGTATGCTTCACGCCAAGGAGGAGTCAACGAGAAGGAACCCCAATCCACCTCGCGAAAGTGTTCGGGAGCGTGAGAGAGCCAGGGTCGAGGTACCAGACCAGACTGAGGCTAGCAGCACCAATGCCAAACCTGCAAAGAAGCAATAACGACGGCGTCGCAAAACTCGCCGCTCTTTGGCCAAAAACAGTATATCAGCAAAGCCCAGCCAACCAGTGGAGCAAACCAAAGAAAGAGAAGAGGTAAAATCGGTGGCAACGAAAACTACGCCTACTCTATTGAGTCGGTCATCCCCCTATCACCCAATCTCCTAGCGGCCCGATGCCAAAGGATTTCAAGGTCCCCACGCTAGGCAAGTATGATGGGTCGTTCGACCCTAATGACCACGTGGATGCCTTCCACTCTCAAATGCACCTCGTCGGGGCTAACGAAGCCTACATGTGTGTGGCTTTCTCCACCACATTCAGAGGAGTAGTTTAGACCTAGTATAGGAACCTCACACCGGGCTCCATCAACAGCTAGGCTCAGTTTTTCAACCTGTTCACGGCGCACTTCATTACTAGTAAGAAGTGCTTGAAGTCACAAGAGAGCCTTCTGAACGTGGTGCAAAATGAAGGAGAGTCTATCAGAAGCTACATCAAGCGCTTCAATGAGATGTGTTTGCAGATACCGGACATCGATCCAGTGGTGCACCTCACTGCAGCGAAGAAGGGGATCACCCACAAAGAGTTCAAGTGGCATGTGGTAGAAAACAAATCGAATAACATCACCGAGTTCCTCAAGCTGGCTGATCAGTTCATCAGCACCCAAGAGGAAATCAACCAGAAGATTAACAATTTGTCGGGTGAAAAGAGGAAGAGAGAAGATGAAGGGACAAGCAACAACAAGCAAAAAAGAAAGAAAAGTAAGTCCTCCAGTAGGAAAAGAAGCAAATCCCCACGTTCGAGAAGTCCCCCTCGTGTGGCTACAAGTTAGGTCAGCATTCCAGGACCCCTTCGGTAGAAAAAACTAACTACACCCCCCTTAACGCGAAGAGATGAGAGATCCTAATGGTTATTAAGGACTCCTCCATCATCAAATGGCCACCCAGGCTAAGGGGAGACCCAGCCACAAGAAACCCGAACGTCTACTGCCACTTCCACCGTGATCATGGTCACAACATGGAGAATTGTAGGAATCTTCGTGACAAGATCAAGGAGCTTATCCACCGCGGGTACCTGAAGAATTACATTCTACGGGAAGACAGAGGGCAGGGAGATCAGCATGGAGATCATCAGGGAGAACAGAAAAGGAATGCCCCCGAGACTAACAGGCAGAACGAGCAGCCACCTCGATAGTTACTAGAGGAGAGACCAGTCCGCGGCGTGATCAATATGATCATCGGTGGGTCTATCATTGCGGGGTGCACATCAACAATAGGGAGGGCATTGGTCCGTGAGTTGGAGAACGAAGGCGAAAACCCACCAAAACGACCTCGACTCGAAGAACCTATCTACTTCACCGAGGATGACGTGCGCGGGATTCAATATCCACATATTGATGCCTTGGTCGTGAAACTCAGAATCAACGACTTCGAAGTGAAGCAGATTCTGGTGGACTCGGGTAACTCGACGGATATCCTCTTCAAAGAGACCTTCGATAAGTTGCAGTTATAGTGGAGCGACCTGAAGCCAGCAGGCGCACCCTTGGTAGGGTTCAACGAAGAAGAAGTCAGACTCCTTGGCCGAGTCACAGTACTAGTGGAGGCAGGCACGTGGCCGAACATTGTGCGATTCGAGCACACTTTACTGGTGGTCGCGACTCCATCCCCTACAATGCGATCATAGGTTGGCCTATCATGCACGTTCTACGTGCGATAGTGTTCACCTATTACTTAGCGATGAAGTTCTCAACTGATTACGGTGTGGGGGTCGTGCGAGGTGACCAGCTCAAATCCCGTAAATGCTACGTGGCCACCCTGAAAGGAAAGGCAAAGCTAGTGGATGATGTCGAGATTGAACAACCAACGGAGCATACAGAGGAGCGAGTTGCCCCGATAGAAGAAATGGTCCACATGCCGGTTTCTGAGACTGAGCCGACCAAAACTCTTCAGATCGGCACCCTGACCAGCGAACCACTCCGAACACAACTTTTAGGCCAGTAAGACAAAGAAAACGCAACCTCACCCCGGAGTGATGGAGGGTAGTTGTTGAGGAGGTCGGAAAGCTCCTCACCGCAGACCATCAAGGAAGTCCATTACTCAAGCTGGGTTGCCAACCTGATGCTGGTGAAAAAGGCCAATGGAAAGTGGTGCATGTGCATCGATTACACTGACCTGAACAAAGTCTGCTTGAAAGATTGCTTCCCACTGCCCAAAATTGACCGCCTAGTAGACGCGATCTCGGGGCATGAGTTGCTGAGTTTTTTGGATGTCTACTCCGGGTACAACCAGATTAAGATGGACCCTGCTGACCAGGGCAAAACTGCATTTAAAACCGAATTCGGGCTGTACTGTTATAAAGTTATGCCCTTTGGTTTGAAAAACGCTGGGGCAACGTTCCAGTGACTTGTAAATAAATTTTTTGAGCCGTTGATCGGCAATAAAGTGGAATGTTATGTTGATGACATGGTCGGGAAGACCCAACTTTCGAGCTCTTTGTTGTATGATTTAAATGATATTTTTCAAATTTTAAGGAAGTATAATATGAAATTAAACCCGAACAAGTGTGTCTTCGAGGTCACGTCGGGTAAATTCCTAGGTTACATAGTGAACGGACGTGGCATCGAAGTCAACCCAGAAAAAATTAAAGCTATTTTAGATATGAGACCGCCCCGGAAAATAAAGGAAGTCCAAAGGTTGACTGGCCGGGTAGCCGCCCTAGTGTCATGAGGTAGATCTGCAGCGGAAGAAACCCGTGTGGCGTCCAGGCCAGAACAAGCCTTATGTGTGCTTGGAGCTAGGAGTTATCCGATGAGATGGCTCCACCAAGGTTAGTAGCACTCGATCATGATCTCAAGGCTCATGGTCGGGGCACTCTGTTGGCTCTTGCCGGTCCATGGAAGGCGTCACTTACGTGCTAAAGGGGATAGCCATGTTGAGAGGTGACTTGGCGCCGATGTGAAGGAACTCTTGTATGTCAATGATGTAAGCACCCGATGTGCCACTGATGATAGGCAACCGTTGGGCCAGAACACACCCATGCGCTAGGGGCAACGGGATAGCTCATTCAGCTTAGGCAAGGGGCTGGCGTAGTGAAGGGTTATGCTTAGGCCAGGC